GCTTAAATGTCAAAACCGGGTCTGGCAACAGGGAGCATCGTTTTCACCGGCGTCGAACCGTATACTTAAAAAATCCGATAGAACTGAATACCGAACGATCCTCGAGATCTTCACACATACCTACATCATTTTTCAATACACCTTAAGGGGTTGATTCTGTCCCACCAGATCAGCATGGCTTGTAAAACGAACTTTTGAATCGGCATTAGTTTGCATGCGAAAAACAAATGTTTTGATTCGGCTCTAGTTTTACTTTTATTTGAGGTGCCTATATACAAACTTTCATGCAATTCGGTTCACAACTAACGGAGATGTAAAAAAAATCGGATTGCGCATGCGTAAAACAATTTTTTTGATCGGTATGTTTTCCTTTTATTCGAGGTACCTACATACAAAATTTCCACTAAATATCGTAACATAAAAAAAATTGGGTTTGCGCAAATATAAAAGTTGTAATGCGCATGCGCAATTTTTTTTGCATCTGCATAGTTGCCTGAAGTTTAAGAAATATTTACTAACACAGAACACCGGACATTCATATTATGTTCTTTGTAACAAGAGTTATAGAAACCCTTTTTGGAGGTTTGAGGCTTGGGCAGTTTTTGGGCGGTTACTTTTTGGCCCGTTAGTCTACGTAGCCAAAAAACAATAGCGACCTTTAATATATCCCGAAGAACATGTGTATCAATTTGCAAAGCGATCGGACGTTTCTACACAAAGTTACCGTGCACACGGACAGGCAGACGGACGGACGGACAGACAAACAGCAATACAAAATTATAAACGATCTCGAGGATCGTTAATAAACTAGATATATGGTAGAACTTGCCAGTTTGTAGCACAATACGCCGTTAGACATTTTTTAGAGAGCCTTTTTCAAAAATGTCTCCTAGATTGCAACTTAAGGCAACGCCTCTTATTATCGAAATGCACACATAATTGTTTTGTGAAGATTTGTGCGCAGTCTGTGCGCTTTCCTTAAAAATTATTTTTTGTTTGGATGGGGACGGCGCCACCTTATAGGTCTTTCTGCTATTTAACCTGGATAATAGCAGAAGCTTTGCTACAGAGGCCTAACATTGATGAACCCGTACAGTTTGAGATTCAAAGATCCACACTATCCTATACTATAGCATAGTATTATCACAGATTGATGTTTAAATCTGTGGTATTATGCCTATAGGTATATGCTAGAAAGCCTGTCAAAAACTGTACTATCCCATTAACAAAGAGTGTAAGTATTTGGCAAAATTATTATGTTATTTGTTGGCCAGCATGAATGATAAGTAAGGTAACAGTAGTAACTCTTCTCAAAAAATTAAAAATTGTATTTTTAGGAAAAATGTGATACTAAACCACCATGTGAGATATATTGTTATAAAGAGAAAAAAAGACCCCAAAATGTTAAAATTCAATATGGCGCCCGTAAGAAAAACTAAAGTTGCCACGTGTTTCTCCGTCATCTTGAAAGTAATTAAAAACAGGATGCCATATTTGAAATCTCCATTAAAAAGTGTCCGAATAATGTGTTAATTAGAAATGTCTACTACGATTAGTTTATCATAAAAAAATTAAAAAAGAAAATCAGAAATTTTCGTTTTTTTGCGATATCTTCAAAACTATTGAAGATATTTCAAATTTCTTTTCAGATTCATATTCAGAACGGAAATTTGCAACTTTGCCCTGATTTAGTCAACTTTCTATCTCTTAAGATAAGTGAGGCTCCATAGTGGCACTCTGTATACCGGGTGATTCAAAATGACTGCAGACAGTTTGAATTAGGCGCTTAATAAATTTTAGTGTTTTTTTACTTAAGGCGTTGGCGATGGTTTTCTCCCAATACACAAATCACAGATCCATTGGCGTTGGTTTTTTTACGTGTGTTTTTATTTTCTTGTCATTTCAGAATGTACGTAGTAAAAGGAAACACTTTATAGGGATTATATAACCTCAGTTAGTACTTGGTAAGAAACGAAAGGAACTGTTTTCTGCCAATGACTGCCCGTCTCCCGTACCCTTTATTGAAATTGAGGGGCATGGGAGGGGGAGCGGAACTGGTTTATCCTTCATAGTACTTTAATGCAAGGTCTAAACGAAATGAATTAATTTCTATTAACCACAGTCTTCCCTCTCCACCCTTTCTCGTGATGGATTATAATTACTCATATCTCAAGAGCGGAATGTCAGAAGGAGGGTACTTATAAAAGGCGATTGGACTATCTGAAAGAAACATGCACAAGAGACAGAGTAAAAGTGCTCTATTTTTAGTGTATTTCTAAATAGTAAGTATATTATATGATACAAGTGTATAACCTAGCATTAAGAGCACTTATACAGGTGTATCATATGCTATTATTTATTATGTAATAAAAATTAACTGCTAACATTTAGTAATCAATACGTTTACTAAATGCTCTTTTTTTAATAGTAAAGACAATGTTGCAAATTGTTTTTTAGTCAACGAGTCTTAGCTTTTTTAAGAGAAGCCAATTGTGTTCACCTTATATAATGTCAGGAGCCTTTACAAGATACGGTTGTACTTTTGGCATGTATCAGTTGTTGATTATAGCGGATGTCGATCGTGGTGTTGATGTTGAGGCTAGTTTGAAGCCTGTGTTGGTTTAGTCTAATGTTACGTTACTATGACTGTATTGTACCTAACGGTTATAAGATATGATGGTCTGCTGCCGGTGATTAAGAGGTCGAAGTTTTGAATATGTGCTACGTTCTTGGTCACGAATCCCAGATGGTCTACGGAAGCAACATAAAAGCCATTAGGTAATTCAACAAAGCGTTCAAAAACTATTAAAATAACCAGAAAGAATAAATAACCTAAAACTATAGCTTCGACGGAAACCAATCCTTTAAAACTATTGCTCTTTTATTATCCCCTTCGCCCTTCAAACTGCCTTTAAGCAAGTTGGTGGATCAGCACTTCAAATGCGGATACGTCGAGAATGGAGTGTAAAATTGTAAATATCACTATTGCTGTCTCCTGTCTAAGAGAAGTAGGTAACTTTATTTTCACCAAGAATAAGAACACAAATCATTTCCAAAGTGATAAATACAATACATCTAACTTTTAACACTATTTTACCAAAGGGAATTAAATATAAAGTGCTTAGAGAGTTTATACATAATAGTAATACAAACGGGAATGCATCTCACAGCCAACGGTGAACAGCAACTTCAACACAAAAAGCACTAGCAGAAAGTACCACACCGATTGCGTAGATAAGAAATATTCCACGCACATGTTCAAGATTCAAGACCACTCGATTATCTGAAGGTTCTCTCCTCTGGTTATGCTTCAAGTAGAAATCGTCAATAATTTTGTTAGTGATACCACTTTCAGTGATGGCGTAAATAATTCTGTTTAAAGCTTCTATTACGATATAGTTGCTGGGGGAGTAAACTTTCCATTTCATTCCTACCTCCGATAGCGAATTATTGATGATTACATAGTGTTTTGACTGATCAATCGTAAATAAATTCAGTTGAGACTTGAGAGCCACGTAAATACATGGAAAATGGATATCGTCACACGTTGGTTTTTCGCATATGTGCATTTTTTTAGATATTTCATGTATAATTATGTCCTTATTCGTCTCAACCGAAATGCACGACAGGAAAATTAAGGGAGACACGCAGATGGGCAGATTTGAATATACGATCTTGTGTAAAGTGTCCATACTTTGTTTGTTGCTTACAGTGATCGCTTTTATGAGATTAGCTTTAAAACCCGTTTGGATAACAATACCGTATAAGAGGTACAACATCAATACAAATTTTAGCGTTCTGAGTTTTGGGATTTTGGTCACTACACCAACAGTTGACAAAGAGAAGATGTCAATGGCGATGTGGCAAAAACTTTGCATTGAGGATTCGGTTCCGAAATAGGTTGCAATCAACCACCAAGTGACTAATGAAGAGACAAACGCCAGGAATACTAAGATCCAAACTTGATATTCAAAAAGAACATCGATGAGAAGAATGGACGAGTTGGGACTTACGGGGATAATCCATGCCCAATCATCAAACAGGATTGTATGGCTTTCGTAGAGAGCAACTGCCCCATTTGGAAAAATGGCATGAAACAGTGTTTTGTTGATATTTCCTTTTAGATTAGTATAAAGCTTGTGCTTAATTCTGAGATTAAAAGATTTACCAAGATAATTTACGGTTGTCGCTTGGATTTGATTGGCCAAAGTGTCAAGAATATTCAGATGCATATACACAACGGGACACCCATTGAAGTTGTGTCGCCATATGTCAAAATTGATCACCAAATCATCTTCGCAACTTTGTACCAGACAGTCTTCAAATACTTTACCGCATTTATTTCTGGGACTAAACGGATTGCACGTATATAATTCCTTGGTGGTTGTCACCAACACGGCGACATTTATTAAGGTATTTGACCACAAAGCGTTAAGAAATATATCCTTCAGATCTGGTGATGATGTCACCACAAGAAGCTTGCCATACGGTGATACTCCATGCTCCCATAAGCCACTGAGAAAAAGTTTGGACAGAGTGACCCGCAAAACAGTATAATTTTCGGCGTAAACTACATAATTTTTACCACTCCATCGAGATGGCCACATTGGTTGATCGACAGCAACAAATGAATGGGGAATCTCTAAATTTTCGTGTATGGTTTGCGTGCTATTCACATTAAACAAAATAAAGGGCCAATCATCGTCGGCGAAAATCGTACGAATAACGTTTGACACGCAATTGTCTTCTTGAACGCTAGCACAATTGATTTTCAAAATTTGTACCCAAAACCATACAAATAGGACGCGCACGCTTTTGTTCATTGTGACGTTCTGTACTACTGTAAAGAGTTCGGGTGTACGCTTTGGAAGGTGTTTTAGGTAATTTAGTCAGTCGTTAGAGTGATTATTGATCAACAAATTAGTATGTTTTATGTGACGCATTGTGGTCGTAGCCCATTAAACGGTAATTTAGTGTCAGTCGATAAATTCAGTTCACAGAGTGTATGTAAAAAAAGTGCCCTCCTTCTTTAATTTTTTTTGTTTGTCAGCCGTAACATTTGGATCATGAGGATTTTTGGTGCGTAATAAAAATATAAAATATGACTCGGTCCGTTTATCGAAATGTCTGTGTTTGTACGTACATACAGTGAATTTTTTTTAAATGCGAACATAGGAGTTTGCATGCAATGTAATTTCCCTATGTTCGATTTAAAAAACACATCAATCTATGGAGTAGTTCAAATGAGTAGTAGATACAATTGACAGCTGTCACATTTTAAAAAATACCGCCGTCCAATTTAATTACGAAATCGGTTAGGTTATTGCTTAGAATGTCAAGGAAGACACTTTTCTTCATTTATGTATTGAATAGATCAAATTAGTAGAATATCAGGTGCACATGAACTACAAATAATTGAAGGTTGGTTCACAATGAGTTGTGGTGTCAGTGCGTGGTCTGTGAGGTCAAGTTATCGTAAGTTTAAGAAAAATTTATCCTAAAGTTGCTATGGCCTCACATGGCTTCTTTAAACAAATCTTACCAAGTGCTCTTCATCATAAAGACTATAGAATTGCTGTTCATAGTCACACAAGTTGGGCGTTTTGCTGGTGAGAATGTGAACCACGCACACCTCATATTGATGTGTTTTTTTTTAAAATCGAACATAGGGAAATTACATTGCATGCAAACTCCTATGTTCGCATTAAAAAAAAACTCACTGTATGTATATTGGGATACATTTAATACTGAAAAAGTTTGTTGGCAGTTTTTTGATTGAGACCTTGTATATGGTCCTTATTCCTTAATATTTAGTAGTAGTATTATCTTATTTGAAAAAGTGTATACCTAAGCCCGCTTTGAAAGCACGCACAATGTTAGTGTTGAAAGTACCTTAAACGCACTTATACACGTGTGTCATACGCTATTCCTTATTATACTTGAAACAAGTATACATTGTGCACAACTCTTGTGCAGATAAAGCGCATTTGTTTAACAGAAGTAGTTTTTGTTTTGACATCACCAATGGATATATTTCTTTCAGACGTTTCAATCGCCCTTTGTGAGTATCCTCTTCCGACAATCTGTTCTTGAGGTATAAGGGAATATACCCGATCACGACAAGAGGTCGAGAAGGAGGGCTGTGGTTGGTAGAAATTAATTCCTTTCGTTGAGAACTTTCATTAGAGTACCATGAAGGATCAAACTAGTTTCAGTTTTTTTTTTAATTCTTAAAAAACGCGCTACAAATTTGCTGCTCAAAAGCTTTTCAGCCCGATCCTTTTATGTGTAATAATAAACTAAACAAATATAGAAAACGAGCTCCTGGGTATGGCTATAGCATGTGCAAAACCAAATTTTAAACCTGATGTTAGTTTTGCTTTCATTTAAAGTGTATATGTATGAAATTTCATTTAAATACCTTCATAAATAAGAAAGTTTGCTATCCGGTTTGTAAATGGTCGCGATGCGAAAAGGGCACTGTGAATGTTGATCGATTGGGCCCAATTTTTGGAATTGTGTTTTATATGGCTAAAGCTATGCGCATATTGAATTTCATGCAATTCGGATCATAACTCACGAAGATGCAAAAGGCCCTTTCTTATTTTTTGGGCTACATTGCCAATTCACGAATTCCGATCTACAAATTTGATAAAGAATCCACCTACAAAATATCATCCTAGTCGGTCCATTCGTTTATGAGTTATCGTGCAAACGGACGGACAGACGGACAGACACCGCAAAATTATAAACTCGCTAGGGGCTCGTTAATAAGTGTACAAAATTTGGTTCCAATCGGTTCAGCTCCGACTTCCAACGTCCCGTTGCATTTGCGGTTGATTTTGCACACCTCCACAAAATAGTACTCAATTTTTTGGGCACTTCTCATAGCCCGAGTTTCTATTTGCGACACGAGAAAGAGCTAGAGACCGCGATTCGAATTCGGAGAAACTTTAAACCGCGTGACAAAATTCGCAGCGGAAGATACCTTTTGGGCACTCGAAGTCGACTACCCCTCGAAGACCCGCGCCTTACAAAAGATGGTTAATTTCGCCCCTATGAAAAAAACAAAGTTCCATCACGCAGGAGTTGTGCGCGTTTACAAGATCTTTCCGACGACACCAATTTGAAAAACATCGGACTAAAACTGTAGAAAAAGACAAGAAAAAACTGAAAAATCACCACGTTAGTATAACACGCTCAGGGATGAATCCCAGATGTCGCCGACCCCATATCATGTACCCCCGTCCTTAAAGTTAATTACATGGCCTCTATAGGTACATGTAGTTTTAGGTACACTCCTCGTCTTTTTACAAGCGTTCTTGTACGGGCCCACATTCGCTGCTAGCCAGCCAGCCGATCGGCCAAAGTGAGATTAAAAGCTACCTTTTTTACAAATAAATTTGGAAAAAATGCGCTAAAATAAGAAACGGGCCATCGTGGCCGCTTTAATTGTCACTCTGTCTGTGCGTTCTTCCCTTCGCCCGGCAGACTGTGTTACTAATTGTACTTTATTAACGATCCTCGTGATCGTTTATAATTTTGTATTGCTGTCTGTCCGTCCGTCTTTCTGTCCGACTGTCTGCCCGACTGTCTGTCCGACTGTCTGTCGGTCTGTCTGTCCATGTGCACGATAACTTTGTGTAGAAACGTACGATCGCTTTGAAAATTGATACAAATATTCTTCAGAATATATGAAAGGTCGCTATTGTTTTCCGGCTACGTAAACTAAAAAAAAAGTTACAGCCCAAAAACTACCCAAACCTCCAAAAAAGGGTTTCTTTTATAATTCTTGTTACAAAGACTTATGAATGTTAAAAATTAATTTTATCTCTCATTGTATTCTAATTAAAGGTCTCAACGAAAGGAACAGTTTTCTACAAACTACTGTCCTTATTTCTGTCCTCTTATCAATGTACGGGGTGGAGGGGGAATGGAGGGGGGGGGGAGTGAAACTAGTTTTATCCTTCATGGTACTCTAATGAAAGGTCTCAACGAAAGGAATTAATTTTTACTAACCATAGTCTTCCTCCTCGATCCCTTGTCGTGATGGGTTATAATTCCTTATATCCTAAGAGTGAATTGCCAAAGGAAAGTACCTACAAAGGGCGATTGGGCATTTGAAAAAAATATAACCATTGGGCATTTAAATAAAATTTGATACATAGCCACTTGGAATAAAAGCAGATTTAACGCCAGTTTCAAAATTTCGTTTTGCGCATGCGCAGTGCCAACTTTCTTATTTATGGAGGCATTCAAATGAAATTTGATACATGGCCACTTGGAATAAAAACAAATGTCGCCATTTTCCAAATTTGGTTTTGTGCAGGATGTGCAGTGCCAACTTTCTTATTTATGGAAGAAATTTCGTAGGGGTGTTTAAAAAAATGCGCTTTACCTGCACAAGGGTTGTGCACAATTTGTACTTGTTTGTTATTTATTGAGATATTTAAATGAAATTTTGTATACAGGTGCGTCAAATAAAAGCAAAACTAATGCGGAATCAAAAAATTTGTTTGGGCATGCGCAATTCTAAATTTGTTTAATTTTTTATTATATTATATATTTAACTGAAATCTTGTATGTAGGCACCTCGAATAAAAGTAAAACTAATAGCGAATCAAGAAATTGTTTTGCGCATGCGCAATTCATTTTTTTACTTGTTAATATATTTAAATGAAATTTTGTGTGTAGGCACCTTGAGTAAAAGCAAAACTAATGCCGATTCAAGCATTCTTTTACAAGTTTTACAAGCTATGCTGATTTGGTGGGACAGAATCAACTCCTGTAAAAATAATGCTTGTGTGAAGATCTCGAGGATCGTTTGGTAGTCAGTTGTATCGGATTTTTTTAATAGTAGATGACGAATTTTCTTTGATGTTTTGTTTTATACGTTTGCTGATTATTTAACACCAGATCTTTTAGTCTAATTGCTGTGATTTTACCCTCATTTTCTCAAACGAATTGCATGTACGGAAATGAAGTTTTTAATTTCTTAACCTGTGGATTTTCATGGAATTGGCTGTAGTCCAAGAACTTTGGTTAAAATCTGAAGATCAACCTAGGTGAGTTATATAGCAGCCAAAACACATTAAAGTCACGTCATTACGGTCTGAGTGGCAGCTACAATTGCGGGAAAGTGGGAGGAAGCTGTACAGTGTGGATGAGTCAACGATTGCGCGGAGTAACTTAATGCCTTGAAGATAAGATTTTTCGATAGAGTGCTTTCGTATTATGATGTGGTTGAATATTCTCCATATTTTAAAAATATTTGGAATTATACAGGGTGCGCCCACAAAGTAGGGCGCCAAAATGGTACATTTTTTAAATAGAACCCCCGTATTTGAATGTATTTTTGAATTCTACGTGTAATTGTACGTCTTTTTTATTATATGGTTAATATCCGAAAAGCTAATAGTTTTAAAGATAATTCGATTTGTAAGAAAAATTGGGCATTTGCAAGCATCATGTATATTGTCAAAATTATTACTTAAATTTTGATTCCAGGTTTTATATCTTTCATCCTGGGTTAAGTAAAAGTCAAATAAATACATCTACTATGAAACATTAAAAAATAGCTTACAGGGTGTTTTTTTCTAGATCCAAAGTTACAAAACTTCATATTAAAAAATTTAACTTTTTTTTAATGGAACACCCTATATATTTTTCTGTCAACTTTTAGCTCCTTCAAAAACCTTCAACTTTTGATAATAATGTCCTATACCTATCTCTGATAGCTTTCGAAACTTCTTGGTTTTTATATTCTAATCTTAAATAAGTTCTATGTAATTTACATAATAGTGAGGTGGTCATGCAAAAAAAGGCAATTTTCATCTGCCTCGTTCAAAACTAAAATCATATTTATTAATTCATTTTTCTACTAATTCATTTAAGTCTATGAAAACTGGAGAATAAATTTGATAGTAAAAACATAACCAAATATCTTGGTTTTTCTACTTGTTATATTTTAATCTGAAATAAGTTCTAATTTACATAATAACGAGGTGAATATGAAAAAAAATGAAACTAATATCACTGACTGGATGACATTAGGAGTTAAATTAAATTTACTTTCTAGT